TGCAATTTACAAAATGAAAATTTCAAGAACTAATCTGCAGAAAACATTTCCTTGTATGTTTTACTACCCATTTTGTTCAGTTTGGTAAAAGAGATTGCTCTGAAAGAGTTGGGTAGAATGTACTTCTTTAGTTATAAGATGGCTAAAGGGTTTCTATGAATAGTCTTATAATGTCCTTGTATAATAAAGCTTGTTGTTTAATTATCTCCGTCTCCTGCTTCCTCTGTTCGTTCAGTTAAATTCTGAAGAAATTCATGAAGTACAGTTGTCAGCGTCCAACTAAAAATCATGGGTCTTAAAAATTTCAGAATTCTGTAAAGATTTGTACTTTATATACTTACGGATAAGCCAAGAATTTTAGGTGCTAATATCCACTCAAAAATTGAGTTTGGCTTATCCATAGATGGGCTTATATACAGAAATTGAACATAGCCACAATCAACAGTAGCATTCTTTTCCCCCTCAGACTGTATTGTAAGGTCAAAAACATCACCAAGAGAAATTTAATATGGCCTCTCAAGCACTCTGATAATATGTTCTGTACACGTCTCACTTTTTTCAATTTTTGTTTCTGAAATAGGGAAAAGCACAATCTTACATAAAGCCCATTTTTCTTCTTTCAGCTAAGATTTCCTCCTCACAACAAACCACCTACTACCCACTATCTTTTGACCAGCATTTCCACATTTCCCCATCTTTAGAAAACGTTCTACTTGCTTCTACTTTAGTTTTTCACCATTTGTGTATATAACTAGCAATTGTTCTATTTTTAATGCTGCTGGCTGAGAGCCCAAATGATTTGCAGCAAACATTAGATGGGACTGTCTGATAGAGAATACGAACCTGAAAATTTATATAGCCAACTCTCTCAATTTTCAGTTACATCTTCCATGCTGGATTATACAATCTAAATTTACTGCAAATCATTTGGGTTCTCAGCCAATAACCTAGCATTGTCTGTATAAAGTACACGTATCTTCATTGTACAAATCATCTTACACCTTCACAAACATTTTTCCACATTTATCTATAAATCACCAAGAGGACATCACTCTTCCTGAACTTACTGTCTCAGCGTTGTTTATTCTCATGCATGCTTTATTTCTATAATATTCTACTCTTATACCATTTAGCAGGCAACCTTAACCTCCATATCTGTGCAAAAACTTCCATAGTTTTAGCTGGGCTGTCCTTTCTTTAAGTCAAAAATATTCAATAAAAATATTTTAAAAATCAGAACTTTTTCTTTTTACCACATCTGAAGACAACTTGAATACAGAATTCCATGTGTGTGTGAGAGAGAGGGGGTTGGAGAGATCTAGAAGCTAAAGTGCTGCTGAAAAAATAAAGGTATATTTAAAGGTAGGCAAACAAAGGCCTACAAGAAAACTTGTGGGCTGTGCAAATGGAAGACATTTTCTTTTTTCCCTTTCAAGACAAAGATAAACCATGACAAAGAAATGAATATATTATTATTGCCATAGTATTCCATGAATACTCACAGTCATTTGTCTGTGAATGTGAAATCTGTGAAATGAAGAAATCTGGAAATAAATTACTATAATTCTTTTAATGTAGAAAGCTCAACATGATTCAGAATGAACAAAGTCAGGAAGTGAATGTGCTGTCTCTCACTTTTATTTATCGATTATTGCAATGTACAGATTTTAGCTATGTAGTGTGATATATATTTGCACAAATGATTTTTTTCAGTTTTTGAAATCTGCAGGGTTTTTTTTTTTTTTAATTATGCAAACAGTTCCTCCTCACTCAGAGTTTTTATTTTTCATCATATTCTTCTGTAAGGCAACATTGCCCTCTTGTGGCTTTATAAAAGACATTGGTTTTGCTTTGAAATAAACTGTCCTCCTATAACTGGTTCAGACAGTATTTGTTTTAAAGGTTCCCTCTACGGCAGCAGAAGCATATAAATGAATCAAGTCACAAGGATCTGCATCTACCACAAATAAAAAAGGGGAAATAAGTGGATTCCTTCCATTTGTTTCATTTTCACTGTTTGGCACTTATTGTGTTATATAAAACAAAGGAAATGAAAATAAGCACACTTCATTGGCCTGGCTGGAAAACTAGTCGTTACAGAGTCACTCTTTCTATTTTTATTTATTCAATTGATGGGGTACTCCCATTAGGTGCAGTAAACTAGGTAGAAATTCCTAATTGCATTATAGTCATTGAAGCATTACATCTACATTCGGTTTGTAATAAAATCAGTGCAGCATTAAATCTTGATTTTGAATGTTCAAAAAATGCCCCCTCCCTTTTTTGTTAAGGATAAGAGCATCTTTGATCTGCATATTACAAGTCCTTGAAAACCACTTTAAAAAGTAATATTAACACATTAAATTATGAGCTTATGAGACCACCAGCTCATATGCTTATGAGACCACCAGCTTTAAGTGGCAATTGAAATCTGCATCAAATAGTCATAAACTATAAATATTCAAAGCCAATGCTTTAAAATGCACACAACACCTTTCAATAAGTAAATATATAGAGATACTTTTTTAATTGGACAATATTTTTTATCCATTTAGGATGAACAACAAGCTTTATTCTGAGAACTACTCAGTAAGGCAGACAGGAGAGTCTAAATCCACTCAGCAGCTTCATGGTAAATCAAAATTAAAATTAAGACTCCTTGATTGAAAGCAATACCATTCTTTCCATTCAAGGCCTGTGAAATGTAGAACAGATGCTAAAACATTTGTCTGCTTTTACCTTCATCTGAAATGATAAGTAATGAGTTGTAGTCACTTTCAGGAAATCTGGATTTTATCTTTTTCCCCCTATGGCAATAGAAGTATAAAATTATTATTTTTAAAAATGGTAAATGTACATTTGTCACTTTACAAAAGAAAACTGCACAATCATAAATTTACTCAATTTTTATTATCACAGACCAGCATTACCATGAATTTACTTATTCACTTGGGTGCTTCTGCTTACCTACTTGGAGTGCCACAGTTCTTCTGAGCAAACATGTACTGTGTTAATGTAATTTACCTTCAGCACAGGGAACCTAGAACTCACTTCCATTTTAGGGCTTTGAGGAGTGTTTTATGTAAACAAGATCTGGAAGAACTCTGGAAGAACACCACTTTTAAATATACTGTATGTTTAGAAGATCCTTGTTGGATACGAAATTACCTCATTATATGACTAGTGCAGTATACAGGTTTCTTTGCAAAAAGCCTGTGGGTCAAAATAGGGAACATGAAGGAGATAATGTCTAATATTGGGACAATTGCACCTACAGTATTTATCCTAAACAGAATTTTGAGGAAAATGCTTTCTTTGGGCATCATTCTCATCAAAATATAACATATAGCAGAACATATCATGACTTTAAGGGGGGAAAAACTTTTTTGAGCTCAACTTGAGGTTAGTACATGAATGGAAGACAACCAGGAAAATTAGGGCTATTAGATTATACTGAAAAGTAAGTTAAAAGACAACAATCCTGTAAGTATTGCAATTACAAACCACTTCTATATTGTGGGCAACAAAGCAATTTAGATGTATTGAAACAGATTGAAATAAAATAAGCTGAAAATGTATTGTGATAAGGAAGCCCAATTGTCCAATTTAATTTGTTCGATAACTGCTACTGAATCTAATGTAGAAAATATGCAAAACAACAACAAAAAACCAACCAGCCGTATAAACATAATTAGGAGAAAAGAAATGTACAAGTAATTTGAAAGCAAGCAATACTATATAAACCCTTGCTTGGGTAGAATCTGATTATTTATCAGTGAAATCATTTAACAAGGATCATGAAATCTGAAGTATCCATGTACATCTTCAGATAGTGGCAACATGATTATAAAAACTATTTCACATGTACACCAAATAGTGGAAAATGTACCAATATAAACCTGAGAAATGCATACGATAGAATGTTTTACACAATTGTTAGGACAATTTTGTAAAGAATATTTTGTATCTGTCAATTATGTGACATTAATTTAGACAATTGTATTTTAAGAAATATACATGAAAAAGACTGCAAAAATCTGAAGCGGAGTTATTTGGCCTGCAGAATGCATAGAACAGATTAAACATTGGAGTTGATGCGATTATGTGATACTGACCTAACTTAATCTATGCTATTTTAGTTTTAACTTTTAATAAATTTACTTTTAGCAAAAACTGACATTTAGCTTCAAAATATTTTAATTATTAAAAAAAGCAGTTCCTACCAGTTTTTAGGAAGTTGCTAAAAACAAATGAATCTGAGGGTATTTTCTTGATTTATTCATCACACCATTTTGATCTTTTTTGGGGGGGTAATTTATGCTACTTTATTGTGGCTGCCTTCTGATTGAACTTATATCTCTCTGCAATAAAGATATCATGCCAGCCATATGAATGTGGAAATGTCTTCAGATGGCGCTGGCTCAAGGCCTTGAAACAGAGATGACTACGGCCCCCTAGAGTCAGCAACAACTAGTGGAGAAAATCCACAGGCACTCCTTTCCTTCCTATAGTATAAGATTGCAAGAAGCTACATGCCGTACACAAATCTGTGTATTTCAAAACTTCAATATATATTCAGGAACAGTTCAAAAAAAATGTTAATATTCAAGCTATTACTTGAAGCCTGTCTTCACATATAAAATAACAAAACAAAAGGTTTTATACAAGGTACGTGGTCAAATAAGGCCATTATGTAAATCATAGTTGTTAAATAAGAAACTAGAGTTTGGTTTGTTTAAGGAGTGGACAACCATGCCAACAGCCCTTAAGATTCCTAGTCCCAACAGTTGGCAGCTGTTATCAGTAATAAATATTTTGATTTTGCTACACACAGCATCTTTGCTCTTCAATTTTCCCAGTAACATAATTTCCAATCATTTAATATCATTTAGAATTCTGAATTTCCCAATGTGGACAGATAATTTTGCAAAGAGGTACAATGTAATTGAAACAGGAAGCATGCCAGACATTTTTACTGGAATGATGATCAGAGATTTAACTTCGATTGAGTCTGAATTTTATTATTTTATTTTAAAATACAAATCCAAAAATGTGAAGTAAACTTATACACAAACAAAAAATGCTTCAGTAACTAAAAAAAAACAACATAATATTTATAACTCTTCTATTATCTGAACAAGTTTACAATAGGAAACACAAGAAATCATTCTTCAAGAAACAATTTATATAAATTTCTGGGAAAACCTTTGCACTCTGAAAATTGAGAAAGTATGAAAAACCAACACTAGAAGATAATTGTTTTTCAAAATATCTTAAACTTTATTTCAGCTAATAAAATACACTGGATGTGTCAATGCTTTCCACCACCGAATGTTCAGAATTACTGCAGTAGTTTCACTATATAAGCCTGCCATTTGTCAGTTTCTGTTGCTGTGATATAAGACTGGCATACTTTTCTAGTAATATATGTTATTTGTTAGTGTTACTTTTCTGAAAACCACTCTACATTATAACCCCCAGTAGAATTTAATTTGATAATTGCAGGGGAGGAGGACATTATTCTGTATTTAAAAGAAAAAGCCCATGTATTTCACAGACTGCTCAAAATTTTTATAATACTATAAAGTGGACACGAGTAAAAAGACTTTTTGAATTATGTAGATGAAATGGTTGATTTCTATTAATTCTGAATGTGAGAACATATAATATAGCAGTCATCTACTGAATCTGCTTTATGTATCTACAATAATAAACTGTATAGGAATCCTCTCCATAAGGAATGCTTTTAATTGGCCCCAGAGATTAGGTGTCCTCAAAAATTATAAGTCTTAAAGCATATTTTGAAGTTTCTTTCATTCACTTAAAGCTAGTAGAAAGATGCTCTAAAAAATTACCCCTTTAAATATTCAATAAAAATGCAGTTGGAATATTATAGTCAAGCAACATGAGTCCCCAAGCTTGCAAAGAGGAAAACTAATATCAAGCGTAAAAATGAAATGCATCTTCCCTTATCTGCAATAAATAAGGTACAGAATCAGTTAAAGTGCATTGCTGAACAAATCCTTGAATTCTATTATTACTGCTATGCAAAAAAGCAATACAAGATTGTTTTCATATGTTCTATTCTATAAAGGCGTAAATATAGTAGCTGAAATTACAATCTTTTATAAATGAAAGATGTTTTCTGTACCATTAAATTTAAAAATAAGTTACATACTTTTTCATAAATGCTGGAAAGTTAAGAAATCAATCATTGGCTGGTGTTAAAGAAAAGATTTTTTAGAAATGCTATAGTCAGTATGTTCTTTAAGGCTCAGAGAGAGAGAAAGAGACAGAGAAGCAATCATTTTTCTTGACATTTTTTGGCAAGATATATAAAAGAAAATTATCTGTCATTTCTAAATTTGAATGCATATATTACACTAAAGCTAGCTCATTCAATGTCCACTGCTATTGCACTTCTGTATTCCTTTGAACACACTTACTTCAACACAGTAACAATGATTTGCAATATAACCATGGTAAAATAAAATGTTCCAATTCAGTGACATGAAAAATGTCTGCTTGTTTAAAAACTTTCTTAAGAGAATGCAGACCATCCTTATTGTTATCTGAATACACTTTTATTCACTTATATAAAAATGTTATTAATTCTCATCAATACAAATTTGTCAGGGAACAAAAAGATTTATCATGCAAACTCTTAATTAATGCTATATACTGGTGTGAAACCCATTTCTAGTCAAGTTAAAACAATATAACCTGGGGGGGGGGGAGAAAAGGCAACAAAATAGGATTTAAAATAGGAAACTACTGCTGAATCCAAGTCCTTGTAGCAAGTTATGTTTCGATTCATCACAGCTCTAAAGCCTTGTTGAAAGATTACTGTACTTAAGTAAATGCTACATTTCAAGGATTAAGAAAATATCAAGTAGGCATTATTATTTTACTTAAAAGCAAAGGTTATTTTTCTCTGTAGTATGTCAAGTAGGCTTTTAGAGATTCAGGGAGTGGTAGATTCATAATCTTTTCCCGCAATAAATTTGGTGGAGGTTCCTCTGTTTTCAAGACTTCATTTTGATCTTTTTCATCATCTTCTTTGTGGTCTTCCTCCATCTTTTCATCTTCTTCACTATCCAAAGGTTGAGGAATGAGTTGATTGCCAACAAAAACATAGGTATTAATCCTGCGTCTACGACACCTTCTGCGTTTACGTTTTGGTGGAGGTTTCTGTGTAATACCTTTGGTTTGCATTTCATCATTTACATAGTTTCTAAGGGTGCGTCTAATGTAGATCCGAGCCAAATCCTGTAGATTCCTAACAGCACAGGGAGCTAGAAAGAGAAACAAAATGAATTAAATAAGTCATGGTACTTAAATTACACTATAAAATATTTTGAAGTGAATCATCAAAAATATTGAACTAAATTTAAAATATATAAAAGCAGCAATCACTTTTCTGGCATGATTTCTTAATAACTTTGACAAAGGACCTTGGAAGGCAATGTTTTTTTGTAATTTCTTCCAATGGCTTCTTTTGCTCCTTGTATTTTATTAAACCAGACACCATCATGACCATTTTGAAACAGGAGTTTCCCTATATTCCAAATATTTTTAAATATGAGTACTACTTGGTGCTGTCTTGTAAGAAAAATAAGGACCCCTTATTTCAACTCTGAGCTACAAATATTCTCCTTTATTGGTATTTTAAAATATTTTAAAACTTGTGTCCAATATAAAGAAGTTTGTAATAACATGGTTCATCAAACAAAAAATCTGAGATGACAGAACAGTGAACATATAGAAAACCACAATAAATCACATGTAACTTTAACAATGTTTAAAAATTTACACTTATCATTTATTTTCAATCATCACTTTTGCATACTCATTTACTTGCTATAAATTAATTCCATCCTGGCAGAAGGGGCATGCTATGGACTCCATCAGCCATGGAAATTTCAGCTGGTGGAGAACAGAAGAACTTTTTCTGCGATGGCTCCTGCCCTCTGGAGCATCATGCCCCTTGAGGTTAGATCCGCCTCCAGTCTCTTGGCCTTCCATAAGAGTCTGAAAACTTTGCTCTTACATTTGGCTTGGGACCCTGTTTGGGTTGTCCCTTGCTGGAGATAATTAGTAGACTAAAAAGGTCCCACCTCCTGTTCATGTATTTGTTTCTATTTTACCAAGTTTTTATTAACTTTTAATGCTTGTTTTTAATGTTTTAATATTTTATATTAACATTTTTATGATATTGTAAACTGCCAAGTCACTTGATAGTGAGATGGGCAGCATATACTTTTAATACATAAGTAGACACATAGTTTGGCTATCTAACTCAGAAAGAAATAGATTGACTGCAGGCAATAAACCAGAAGACTGTAAATTCTATTCATGCCTTAGGCATGAAAGTCGGCTGGATAACTTTGGGCCGGTCATTCTCTCTCAGCCCAACTTACCTCACAGGGTTGTTGTTGTGGGTAAAGTAGGAGAAGAAAAGGTATTAGGCCTGTTTACCTCATTGAGTTATTTATAAAAAATAATAAAAACAAAATATAAATAAAATAAAGTTTATTCTGAAATTTTATTATTTTTACAAATAGAAATATGCAGCAATATAGTACAGTAAGTTATACCACAATATGCCATCCATTAAACTATGTTTTAAGCAACTATATTTTATTTAATTCACATATCAAAGTGAATCAAATCCCAGTAACAATGAATTCATAAATTGTTTTAACCCAGAAACAGGTTAAATTTACATGGTGCACTACCCTCCCATATCAGCAACCCCTAACAACTTTTGTTAGCATATCAGCTAGGTTTAACATTAAGATTCTAAAAACAAAATCACAAAATGGAATCAGTAACAAGATGGATTATAAATATGGTATCCTAGTCAGCCAAAGTTGTTCAGCTTCAGGGAGAAAATATTGTAGACAATTATTAGGCTGAATGGGCGGAGTCCAATGGATCGTTTGCATAAATAGGAGACACATTTGTAAGATTACCAATTTCCTTCTAACAGGGAATTCTTGATAATATATATTATGCTCTTGTTCAGGATCTCAGAAATGTTTTGTAGTTAGGACTACTTATTGCTTAGAATGTGGCCAAATATACAGAGGAATTATTAAGTAAGTGTCGATATGATTTTTTCATTTATTCTTTTTCAAAAAGAATACATGCTTTTAGCTGCTTAAATTTACTTTTAGTCTATGCTAGTTGTACTACAAGGAAACACACAACAAATACTTACGCAGCCCCACACTATCGTTTTTGCTGGTGTCACTTTTGCTTGGCTGTACAAGTGGAGCAAATGATACAGCAAGGATGTTTTTGCTTTCCCAAGTATTCTGTCCAGTTCTCAGGATCTGGGTTAGCTATATAGAATCATTGAAAATTAATGATACAAATTTAAGCTATTACATCAATACTTGTATTTTGTATTTGTTTCTCATATAATGATCTTGTTCTGGTAGACTGGGAAAAACTATAGCTTATAATTTATGGAAGTGAACTTGGGTAAAACTTAAGACTTGTGGGACCCATTTTGATAAAGGGTTGCAGGGTTCCAATAAACATTTTACTTCTTAAAAGCTCTTCATATAAATCCAAAATTTGGCCAAAAATCCTCGGTTTTCAGGGTTTTAGAAAGTGAATTGGATGTTGGCTTTGCGACTATTTTAGTCCATCCCACTTACCCCAAAAACCCCTTCAAATAAAAAAGGATTTTATTTAATTTTTGCTCCAACTGTTTGGCAATATGAAAGTATTAATGTCTTCAATTCTTTCTGCTTCTTTTTCCCTCAAAAGAAAAGACAGCTGCAAAAAAGTTGGCTGTAACTAGCCAATTTCAGACTTTATTTATGAAGCCGAATACCTATCATTGGCTAATAATACACTCATAATTGGATAGAGAAACATGCTAAAGTACCAATGATTATCTCTCCCACAATAAATGTCCTAACACCAGGAAAGATTATACTTGTTAACCCTTTTAGCCAAATTCCATCTGTGATTATAGTCACAAGGATCATCTTCTGCAATTATAGACATGAACTTAGTAAGGCTACCCATCTTTTAAAAAGGGATATATTTTTGATACTTTCCAAATAATTTGAACTTTTAATTTCAATCAGTCCTAGCTATCATTTATAATACCTAGGAAATTGAGGAAATTGTAATCTAAAGTAAACAAAGGGTAATGTTTGCTTCTATCTAACTTAGAATTTGGGGGAAATCATAAACAATGAGTTGGTAACAGCCATGCTGCTATGTGTAATTATTCCTATCATGATCATCACAACTTTGTGATGATCTGTCAGTAGCCACAGATGGAATTAAGAACATATTAGTATAATTTTCGTCAGTATTTTCCTTCAATTTAAATTAAAAAAAAAATTAAATTGTTGAAATTTATTAGTGGAAAAGTATGGTTTACTATTGAGCTGTAAGTACTTAAAACCTAATTTGTAACTGAAGCAGCCGCAGTTTCATCTTTTTTTCTTAACAGTATTAGCTCATGAAAAAGTATCAACCCAGGTGACTACAATCTTTCCTCTCTTCTTCACCATAGTACACACATTAGGGAAAGAACCTACTGGATATAAGCAAAGTGGCAGCAATGTTTCCAGCTACTTCATCAAAGGCTTTTGTTTACAGCACTGGACAGTGCAGACGCATAGAGCTGTGTTATTCAGTTTGTGATGCTTGCCTCCCCAGTAACTGTCTCTATTTGCCTACTAATAAGTTTTGGGGACTCAACTGATAAGCCAGGTACAAATAAAAGGTTTAAAATATCTTAAACAAAGTATTCAAAATTACAAATTAGTAACATTTATTTTTAAACTGCAGTATTTCAGCATATTAACAGGCAGAAGTAAGAATCATTTAAGAAAAGGAATGGGCGATTTCAGTGTCTAAGAGAGTAGATAATTTAAATCCTGTTTTCCCAAGCTTTTTCTTTGGGAGAAGGGTTCATAGGTCACACAATATTGTATAATGGATTAATGCTGTCAAAATTATATTTGCAAATTCATTAAAAATCAACTACAGGTGGGCTAGTAGAACTGTCCTGAAAGATCAAACTGTTCAATTAGAACATTTCTTAAAGACAAAAGAGTTTTATTGTTGGTCCTTATTCTTCCATTTTACATTCTGTTTACAGTACAAAGGCAGCTGACAATAGAAAGATTAAGAATAATGTTATTTAAATGTGACAAAGGAAATATAAATGTTCAAAGAAAAAAGGTTTAAATCACCTGATCTTCTATAGGCATAACCAAAATCCCTCCAATTTTCAATAAAATTTTCATGTAGTTTTCGTGGTCTTTTTGCACACCTGCTCCACAATAAATCCGGTCATACTGATGACTGTCTGAAGCTATCTGCAAGCAATTTCCAACTGCAAATGCAGGTTCACAAAATTCAAATCTGTGGATAACCAAACATTTCATTTTTTTTTAAAAAAAGTAAAATTAGAAAAATATAAATATTGCTGAAACTGAAATATCTCTGCAATTAAATACACAACCAACATTTTTATGTTATATATCTTTATTTGATTAAAATGTAAAGTTGAACATGCTTTAGTATTGTTTCAATCTGCTATTTATTACTCAATATTTTGTAATTTAAATTAAAAAATATAAAATATGGATTTTTTTTTTAAAATAAGAAAATAAAGTACATTACAAAAATATATTGGCAAGCCTACAAAGAAAATCAGAGTGAAAAATATACACCTAAATGAACATCTGCAAGGAGAATATTCTGAATAAAAGGTATCATGACTCAGAAGGCACATCGCAAATGACTTCGGAATGACAATCTACCGATTTATGGCATCCACAGTAAGATCTCCCTAGGCAAATTTAGCAACCATGCAGGTTTATAACAGGGAAAATAATCTGCTAGATAACTCAGTGTGAAATTACTCAGTGCTTAATATGCCAATTACAAAGTATTTATCCCAGTAGCTAATATGCAAGCAGTACAGTTAGCTTTATTATATAAATAAGATGATTCTGGCCAGATCCTGCTTCAAAAACCTGATCTTACCTCCCAGGCTAGAACACAAATGTAGAGCATATTTTAACCATCATAATAGTTATCTTTGTCCAGGAAAAACTTTAGTAAGGCAACAAAAGCTAGACAATTACAAGCATCTTGTCCAAGCCTCAAATATTAAAATCATCTCATATTTTCGAACAGGCAGTACACTGAATATCTCACTAACTCTTATGTGAAAAGAAATATGCATGGTGTCATGAATCTAAATTATCTTATAGTAGGTGCTTTACAAAATTGTTACCACAAGCTACAGATGAAAGTGATATAATACTATTTCAAAAATTTCTTATAAGATTCAATATTCTTATTTTATTCTTTAGGAACACTGATGCAAGCAGTACATTCAAACATGATAGCATCCCCAGTATTAACACTTATACTGAAAGTCAGTTTTTAAAATCTCTTAAATAGGCTGCAAAACATTTTTTTTGTGACTGTAATAATTCTGAATGGTTGTAAACCGACCGGTCATTAAATGAGGACTATCTCATATTGTAACTGTATTATATTGGAAATATACAGAATACCCATATTTACCATGGATATAATTTAAAATTCAGCATTTTATATTTATTCATTTCAGTGTGAAGTCTGCTAAATTAAGGATACATTAAAGAGATGGTGATAAAGTGACATGTTTGCATCTGGTTGCATCTCCTTCTTTAGCTCAAGGAAATATTTTTCTGAAACTGCATAGTTCCTATGCAAGCCTAAGAAAAGCCATGGTTTCTTTAGAGAGTTGCTGTCTGGTATATAAAAAGCACTTATACTGGAATCAAACACTTTTCTTGCTTTGGATCCAAATAGTTGCACAGACATTCTTCCAACTGGAATGACTTCTTAGGGATTGTATTTAGTCCCTATTCTTTCAGATTTTATGAAATGGGTCAATTTAGACAGAATATTTCAATCTAAATGAGTTATTTCAACGATTCATATTTTATTTTCCCTGTTAGGAGTGGGCATGCTGCACTTCTAAACTGAGATCATAGAGGTGTTTGGAATGTGGGATGGCTGATGTCTATGGAATTTCTCAGTAATCCAGGTGGTCATGGTTGTCCCAAAGGTGCTTTTTCAAGAAGCAACTGGACTTTCTGGTATTTCCTTGAAAATGTTTCGCTTCTCATCCAAGAAGCTTCTTCAGCTCTGACTGGATGGTGGGGAATGGAAGGCTAAAGGAATATTGGAAAAGCTCAGGAGAACAGAGAGGACTGCTGGTTTGAAAGAGGAGTCAAAGAGGCCATCTATGTCAAAACTGAACAGCCCTCTCTCAACAGAGGGGGAGGGATACAACATCTATCTATCTTCAATCTACAACATAGTCCTTTCAATAGTTCCAAGTAGGCTCCACACCCATGCCTTGATGACACAGATAAACCTCTAGCTGGCCTTAATGACTTGCTGAAAGAATGCAAATGACCAGTTGTCTGCAAGGAGTATAAATCCTTCCATTCCCCATCATGCAGTCAGAGCTGAAGAAGATTCTTGGATGAGAAGTGAAACGTCTTCAAAGAAAAACCAGAAAGTCCAGTTGCCTCTTAAAAAAGCACCTTTGGAACTTGTCTGCAACAAAGCTGCTGCTTTTTCTCCACATACTTCTCTTCTGTAGACAGCAGTGTCCTGGAAAATGACAAGTTTGGTTTAAGGAACTGCAGATCTGCTCAGTACACAATTCTACATGGTATATGGCAGGTTTTTTTTTTACTTCTGTGCATGCAGTGAAAAAACATTTTGCCATGCACAGGTAAACTAAGTAGCCCTGTTTCACAGAACATTTCCACAATGTGCCTAATGGCAAACAGTACAGATATCAGGTAATATATTTAGAATTTATATCAGAGAAGCAATATTAGTGCAAGAAATTTATCATGCATAAACCTCATTCAACCAGCTGTGCTGATGATTAAATTGGTTAATGCTATAATGTAAATCAATCTCTCACAATACAAAGGACAGATGTTAAGCAAATTAACTTGTCATATCCTCAGCAAACTTCTATTTTCTTTCATCAAAAGTTCAAAAGATTCAAAAGAGTAAAAAAAAAATGACACCTCAATACTGAAGATAAAGTTTCTTAATGGAGAACCATTGTTTGGTGTTATGGTATTTGGTGATTTTATTAGATTTAACAACTACAAATCTATATGAAGGATTGCCTCTAATATGACTCCATGTTTACCAGTCACATACATCAGGTGTTATCGGTCCCTAATCATGGTTGGAATCTTGCAACCCTTTTAAGATTTTTTACAATGCTTCTATTGGGAGTTGGATGCTACATATAGTCTCTGCATCAGAAAATTAATCTAGGAAAATACACTTATGTATTCAATGAAATACGTTGAGACATACTGAATTAATAGAAAATAATGATAGTCTCAGTGATTTGCTATAGGGAAGACAAAAGCCCAATTATAATACCATTAATACCAAAGTTATACCATTGAGTAAAACAGAGTGGCCCAACAATGAAACCAGACAAAAACCCAAGATAATGTATGGTAATGTAAGGGCACAAATTTATGCTCCAAAGGCTGTTTAGAAATGAGTGGATTCTCCTGAACCTTTTCTCCTGTTGTGTAGCTGCATCCAGCTTCCTATTTAACTGTGCACTGTTACAGACTATTCAGATGTACACTAAATGTTCTTTCGAAACCCCTGAAACTCCATTGGTAGTGGAAATGAACCATTGTACAAATCTGTAGTTATACAAATAAACCCAAGACACTAGACTGTTGTTTTTAAACATTCTTTTTCTTCATGATCAATGAAACCGTGTAGTTAGATATAGCATGAGGTTGGCTTTAAAATTCACACCAGTTAATGCCACATAATGTGCCTTAGAACAATGTAATGGTCAAGACTAAAAGTTAATGCTAAAACATATGTATGTTTGTGTTACGATTGCAGATACAAAAAGTAACAAAATAAATGTATTTCAGCTTTTTATTTAATCTAGTGATCCACAGAAATGAAATGATTATTTAAAAGAAAATACTACTGGAGTAGAGTAAGAACTTTCATGTCCTATGTATTGACCTCCTTTATTTAAATAACTCATTAGAGCACAATCTTCTTTCAATCAAGTTGCTTGTTAGAACATGGTCAAAGATTGATAAAATGGATAAAACACATTGCAACCCAATCTGTGGCACAAAATAGACAAAAGAAAAAAAGAAAATAGTCAAATGAGCAATATGAAATACAGTTCAGAAAATTAGGCCAGATTTCTCAGATTCACAAATTCAGGAGAATCTTCCTTATATATAGGCAGATGCAAGTAAAATAATTACTTAGGAACTCCGGAAGCCAAAAAATGTCCTGTCCTTATGGCTAGCTACTGAGTAAATATAAGTTTACTCATATTTATATAAGTTCATTTCATAATTCAGTCAGAACACATCCATGTTTTTCCCACTTCTGCATATGAATCATTAAATATACTCCATTATTTTTTAAAAAATAATAGTAATCATATGGCCTTTGGAAATACTATAAAATGGATTGAAACAAATTTGGACAAGAATTCCTTCAAGACTTCTGGTATATGTGGAAAGGAAGGGAGGGAGGGAGGGAATTTATAGTATGATGATGAACCTGTAATTTGACAATGTTGATGTAAGAAATTTAACATTAAACATACAAGAGAGCACTGTCCTTATATATCTTTGTACTAATCTATATAAATTATCATCTGCTAGTAAGTAATCTGATGAGTGCTAATGCACTTCAAGGGCATATTACATTAATCTTGAATTCCCAGTATCTTCTATAATAAATAGAAACAAAATCTCATATAAAAGAATCATTAACTGAAGAGGTCATGTCAGGACTGATTAGGCTGAGGCTATCTGAAAAATTCTAAGAGCGCCATTACTTTTGGAATAAATTAGACCTTCTGATGGGTGATGATTTATGATGGTCTAATATATCATAAAGATAAGATTGAATTTACATACGTTTATAGAGTCTCTTCCCTTTATGCAGCAGGTATACATGTTCCATTGATCCACCACTGAAGGCTATATAAAACTTCAAAAAATATCATTTGTCTAACTTTGGGGCATTATGCTGACTCTGTAAACCACTTAAGAGGGCTGTAAAGCATTGTGAAGCGGTATGTAAATCTAAGTGCTATTGCTAAGACAGAATTGCAGCAGTTTGTTGCAACAGGAATTAAGCTTTCCTCTTCTGCCATTTTAAATTGTTTTTCACAGTTATAACTTTTGTGGATTACAATGGTTTCAATTTTTTTTTGTTTATTTTAGATTATACAGTAAGGATGTATAAGGGATGTACAGTAAGGGCTCTTTTTAAAATATGCTGTCTTCAGAGCCAAATAATAGTTTTCTCCAAGGTAT